AAAAAAAAGAAGAAAAGAATTTTAATGGCATGAGTAATTTTATACAGAAATAAATGCTAAAATTGAAAGTGCAAAAATACCAGCATGTGATTAACCATAGGAGAAACCCAGACCTGACAATTTAGCAGACAGATTTCTTTCAGACATTCAAAGAACTGAAAATTCCTTAGTTAGCTTTGTTAAATGTTTGTGTGTTTTTAATATATTTTGTTTTCTCTCTGAAAAGATCAAACTTATTAAGAGAGAAAATGATCTAAGTTATTAAGTTACACTATTCTGCTTTCTGGCTCATTAATTTTTCAAATAACTTTGTTTTCTCTTTCATGACTTTAGTTTTTCACCGTGTACGTGATGTTATTTTCTCCTATTACAGGTTCTTTTTACAGGTTCTATTTTTGTTTTGAGTTTCCTTCATCTACGGTTGATCAACGATTTATCCATTTATTCATCATTGAATCGACAGTGTATATCCTGACTTGCTATCCCTCCACCTCCAATAATAGTGGAGTGATTCTTGTATCCTTTTATTGTTTACTGGGTTGTCACTCTCTCCTTAAATTTATTGTATGGTGAAAGTTTTTATTATAGGCTTTGTGAATCAGTAAGATGACATCGTAGGCGGGAGGTAAGGCCAGAGGTTGTCTAAGCAGGAGAACTTCACCACCAAGACAACTTCCTTCATTTGCTCCTTTGGCCTTTTACTTTAGGCACAGGCTGGTATCATATACACTTTTGCCACTTCTGGTGGGTAAGGAGTGGCAGTAGAGGACAGATATGCAACATTGAAACAAACCTTGCTGGTTCATTAAAGGGGACTCTTGCATCAAGTTGAGATCTCAGTGTTTGCTGGTAAACCATGCTCAGGAGACACTATTTGGGTGTAACTGATCTTGCTCTTTGGGAAAGGGCAGGCTACTTTAAATTCTATGACACTCAGTGTCAAAATAGGACCAAATGGAATAATTACTGTCAGGATCTAGCCAGGGATCAAGTTTGTGTTAGAAGAGGCATTTGCCTGGTATCTCACATTCCTGAAGGGACTCAAATTCAGATTTTTGATGTTCTCCTCAAATAATTGGTAACTAGCCAAGGAGCCAGATTGATGTGATGGACAATGTTCATCATATAGCTTAATTTAGTGCACTTAAAAAATTAAATTATGGTAAGTTTGATAATTTGGTATTATTTTAAAGACATATTAGGCATAAACAAAATGGGGATTATAAAATACTCCCTCAGCTTCCAAGAGTTTCACAGTTAGTCTTCTCTGTTTCATATCCCTATCTTTAGTCTTTATTCTTTTAAATTTGAATGTATTAGAGGGTTTCTACCATGAATTTCTTCTTTTGTCAAGTTATTACAGAACTCCCTTGGGTCATTAATATCCTTCAATATGGCTCTTTCAGCATTTTAAGAGTTCTTTCCTTTATCTTGTAGGTTTTGCTCAATTTTTGTTTCCCAATGTTCACATCTGTTGAGTTGCAAGTGCAAGAGCAGGAATTTAGAACCTGTTCTCATGATACCATCTTCCCAGGAATCTGTTAGACTTGAGGGAAAGCAAGTTTATGAAACTAAAAAGGAAAAACATGATTCGGCAGATACCACTCTGAAACTGCACTAAATACCAAGGTTTATCAGGCGATACACACATTCACCTAGGATTTAGATACTTTGTTGATGGACAAAAGGCCTTGGCAGAAGGTACTTAAAACCAACAAACTCAAAAGTTTGAGATATATAACCTTAAAAAGCAGTTATTTGTGCCAGCATGCAGTGACAGTGTTATTCATCAAACAGGTATTAATTAAGGCATATTACTAGTTCTACTGCAATTTCTGAGCATAGACTGAGGCTTTCTAAAATAGCTACTTCACAGTACAACTTCAAAACTTCTTGACCTAATTCATAGATTTGCTAACCTAAGCTACTTTTAAGAAAAATTCAGTAATTCATTATTTAAAGGATGGTTAATGACCATGAAAGAAAGATGATTGTTCACCCTAGCATGGGCCTCACATGACTCAGTCTTGTCAGTCTAAATTAATTTCTCTTAAATTGGGATAACAAAAAGCACGAACATTCACTGTTACGTGCAATTTTTATAACGGCTTTGTAAGGTAACAATATTATCTTCCCTAGTTTACAGATAAGGAAATAAGGTGAACGAAGTTAAGTAACTTCCACAATGTCATACTGTCACTGACAATTAAGACTTGAAGCCAGTTCTGAGATTCCAAATTGTGTTATTAACTAGCATACTATACTGCCTCTCCCTAAGTGTTATTTAAACTGTATTGTTTTTCTATTAATCTATCTTAGAGATTTTATAAGTGGTTATATACTGTCTAGCCGCCTGAGTGTTGTGCAGGAGACACATTAGTTCTTGTTCAATAAAGTATATCTTTGCTTCTGTTTATCCTGGAGCAGGTTACAGAAAAATACACATGTGAAAATCAGCTCTGTCACAAACCAATAATTGAAATATAGAGGTTTCTTTTTCTGACTTGTAAGTTCTGGCTAATATTTGAAACTCTCCTCCAATACATCTGTTCACAGTGGCGTAGTATATGTGATGTGACTCCAAATTGACAATCGCATGGGTAGCTTGGGCTTCAGCTGTTCTGGAGGATGTCTGCTTTTTGTTGAGCTGCTTCCCAGAAACCTCAGGTGGCAACAAACAGTGTGTACCTCACCAAGGCATTTGACAGTTTTTCAAAATATCCTTGAGAATAAAATGGGATAAGAAGAGCTGGATGATAATGGCCAGAGAGTAGATAGGCTAGTAATTTAAACTAACAGTGTTAGAAAATGTGCTAATCAATGTAGATGGTTTTTTAGCTTTAGCTCTGTCGCACTGAAGTTATTGTTTAGTGACTAGCATGACAGTATTAAATAACATGCCTATACCATTGCAAATAATAAAGAAGGAGAAGGCAGAACATACAGAATATTATTAGCAGGATTCAAAATGTCCTTGGAGGTTGGGAAAACATACCCAAATCTAGCAAGATTAAATTGAATAGGATCAAATATGAATTCTTATGTTTTTGCAAAAATTCAGTTACCAAAGACAAGTGGTTACATGTACAACTATCATATGAAGAAGGCTGGTTCTAATTTACTATAAGTTCAACAGGAGCTATTTATGTCAGGTTCCAGTGCACATACATAATGAAACCTTAGGCTTCATTAATACAGTCATGGTGCCCAGAACAAAGAAGGAATGTTTTATTCTGTATTTGGTAGTTTATCTTGGGAGATTCAGTCATACCAGAATGCTGCAATTAGAAGGTATACACATAACCTGGCAACTGACCAAGATGGTGATTGGTTTATAAACAGACACAGAGCAATTATTGAAAAGGTCAAGAATGCTTTAGTTTAAAGACAGAGCTTGTGGATATATATTTTTTCTCAAATAATTGAAGGCCTATTAGGCAGAAGAGAAGTGAACATTTACTTGGATTATCTACAGAGGGCAGATTCAGATGATATAAAAAAGCCAGAATTTTGACACTTTCTAGCAATTAAATGAAGATACCTTCTTAGCTTTTTAAGCAAAAGCCCAATTTAACATAAATTTCAAAAAAGGTCATATGTATCAGCTAGAATTTCAGAAAACCTCTTAAGATTTTTGCAAGCCTCATGTTCTCCAAGTAGACTTTTCAACTTGTCACTGAAGTTCCAAG